TCCAGAGGACGTGCCACGGTGGAGCCTCTGCCTTTTCTCTAAAAACAGGTAGTGGTTCAGGAGGAAAGAGAGACAGTGTGAAAATTTTGCTGGAAATAGTAATCACATTGAAAGAAAAGGAGAAAGCCCAAGAATGACATACTTATGAAATGGATTAATTTTTAAACAACTGAGATGTCTCCTTCAAGTGTGAGAGGTTTTGGGATGCAGAGCCCAAGGGAGGGACGGCGCAGTCTGGAAGCTCTTTTGATTGATGTCAGCTTCGAGACAGTCTATCATTACCCAGCAAATGCCCTGGAATCTTCTGGCCTTTAGAGCCAAAAGTCATGTTCAGCCCCAAAGAGAAAGCCAACTTTATTTCCCATTAAATGTGAGCCTCAGAACTTGTATTTTTCACAGGCACATCCCTGTAATGCTGCTGGTACATAGGTTAACTAGGGAAAATGTAATCCAGAGCCAAATGTCAAGTTTTGCTGTTTGGGGTTGAACACTCTTCTTTTTCAAGTCCATGGGCCAGGACTGATATCTAAATTCTGTTGAAGAATGTCTGTGGCTCTTATGTATATTCTCAGGATCAACACCTGACTCCTGCTAGATTGTAAGATCCTGGAGAACAGCCCCTTGTACATCATACTCACCATAACATCCCAGGGACCTCTATAATGCCTGAGACAAATCGGATGCTTGAAAATATTTGTTCTTGGGGCACATGGGTGGCTCAGTCGGTTAAGCATCTGACTTCAGCTCAAGTCATGATCTCAGGGTCCTAGGATTGAGCCCCACGTCTGGCTCCCCACTCAACAAGAAGTCTGCTTCTCCCTCTGCCCGTCCCCCCCCCCCCCCCACCAAACTGGTGCTCTCTCTGTCTCTGTCTCTCAAATAAATAAATCTTAAAAAAAGAAAAAAGAAAAAAAATATTTGTTGTTCTTGTTGAACAAATGAAAATAAGGTCTGTGGCTTTCCATGAAGTCAGAACTAGGACTAGAAACCCCCAAAATTACTTCTAAATTTTAGACGTATCTCTAGACCCAACATGTGGCTTTTAAACTAGAATTGTAAAGTAGGCAGTGTCAATCTGGTATTTTTGTACTAATTCTCACAGAGTAAATAATTAAATTGTTATTTCTTTAATTATAACATGTTTTAAACACTTCATTCTTCAGTGGGGTCCATGAATTAAACGACAATATTTAAAGATATTTTTAGATGTTAAAATATCTACACATTTTAAGCTATTTTTTAGTTAAAGGATTATTTTAACTTTGTGCTTTAAGTATCACAGATTGTTGTACTTATGTCTGACAAAGTTAAATTCTGTGATCAATATATTCTTCAGCAAGCAAGGCAGTGTTGATTTAATAATGTGAACTTTCATAATAAAATTGAGTTGCCCGGAAAGTTCTGCTAGAACTCTGTTGCTAGAAAATGCAACAACAAATTATCTTGACATTATGTGTGCAAACAGAACACCGGGCTCTTGTGCCCAGGTGCAGATGGGCCCTGGGCCCCCCGTTTGGGAGCTCCAACAGCTTACAACACCACTTATATACATCATCAATATTAAGAATGGTTTTCCACTCTCAACTATTGGGTGACATTGCAAAATTAATGGGCAATTCACACCTTATGCCAGTGGTTCTCAGTCCCTAGCTGAACAATAGAATTACCTAGGAAGCTTAACTAATAATAATAATAATAATAATAATAATAATAATACACATATCTATGGAGTCATCTCTTCCTAAATAGAGTACTGGAAATCCTAATTTTGTCCCTTGGGAAGTCTGTTTGGTATCTGGTGCCATTTTTTATTGAGGTTGTTTTTCTTCCCACTTCTAGAAAACCCAATTTCTGATGTGTAGTTTATGAAACCATCTGTAAGTGATAAGACTGAATAGCTCTGAGTTGTCCATGGTATTTAATTAGAATGTTGAAGAGTGGAATCCCCTATTTGGGGGGAACTTAGGATCAGCAAGGATATTGACAAGTGCCCAGAGCCTTTGGTTTCTTTTGTTAAGTATGTATTATAGTTGCCAGCAAATTACAAGGGTTTCGTATCTAAGAATAAACATCAGCTCTTGAACAGTTTTGCCTCAATCATTATGCACAAACCCATGTATGTTCTGCTCAACCTGAAAAGCAAACAGTTATTGAAACGCTCATATTGATGACATTTTAACACCACATAATTAATCACTTTCTCTTTTTTGATCTGCCAGTTTTGTTTTCATTGTGGACCTAGATCAGGGAAGGGAAATATCAAAAGAGAGTTGTCAAACATTTAAGCACATCAAGATATGAACATATGTCCTAGTTTTCTAAAGAAAAGAAATAATTAAAGCCAGAAAAGCAAGGTTTAAATTAAGCATACTGGTAAGTAAACATAGCTTTTTAGAAATTAGGAACTTTTGTTTAAAATGATTCAAGAGGGGCGCCTGGGTGGCTCAGTCAGTTAAGTGTCTGCCTTCGGCTCAGGTCAGGATCTCAGGGTCCTGGGATCGAGTCCCGCATCAGGTTCCCTGCTCAGCAGGGAGTCTGCTTCTCCCTCTGTCCCTCCCCACCCTCGTGTTCTCTCTCTCAAATAAATAAAATCTTTAAAAATAAATAAATAAATTAATTAATTAATTAAAATGATTCAAAACATCAGTGCAAAGCTACAAACAGTGAATAGTCTCCCAAAGTTCTACTCTTCAGGAGATAAGAGTTAACTATATAGTTCTGTCCTCCACAGAGACAAAGAACTTTTTTGTTGTTTCCTGGGTTTTTTAGATAACACTATATTCAAAGATCAAAATAATATTTTTCTGAACGATTCATTCTCCTCTTTATCATTCATAAGCTTTTTCAGTTAAACACGTTTTACATGCATGTTTATTTATTTAAATACACACACATGCATGTATGTAGTTGGATGAAAACTTAAAGTCTTAATTGCAGCCTTTTAAAACAAGTTAACCGTATCAATGTAGTGTAACAGGCAAAATATATGCCACATACATTTATTGTCTTAATTGGAACTTCACAGAAAGCAAGTATGTATTAATAGAGTGATGGATCATTTTTATAATCTGTATTTATGCACTTTAATCCCCAAAGATTTCAGGTGACAATGTTATTCATGAACTTAATTTAATATTAGTCCCAGGTGTTAAAATCAAAAGATCTCAAAAATTACATCTGATGTGTAATATAATCATCAATTTTCAAAACAAAGGATGATGTTTAAAAATCACGTGCAGATAGCAAAAGTGAAATAACCAAGTTAAAATGATATGCACTATTTTTTGGAGTTTACAAAAACCAATTCTTTTATAAAATGGCAGTTATTCTTTAGTTAAATACACGTTTATATTTTCATGCCCTAAAATATTTTGTGTAAAGAATAATTTATCTGACCCATAAAACCAACAGAGGAAATTAGAAGGTTTAAAGTAATGAGGTTAGAGAGAAGATACACAGCTACTTTTTAACTCAGGATTGCCAAACTAATACAATTTGCCCAAGGATTCGTGTAAGACAGCTATATCACTCCTGCCATTTTTAATACAATTTATACACCTCTGCACTTACCAACAGAATTTTTGAGCTTGTTTAACTTACACCTAATAGTATTAACTTCTTTTTTTTTTTAAGATTTTATTTATTTATTTGTCAGAGAGAGAGAGAATAAGCAGGGGGGAGTGGCAGGCGGAGGGAGAAGCAGACTCTCCGCTGAGCAGGGAGCCCAATGCGGGACTCGATCCCAGGACCCTGGGATCAAGACCTGAGCTGAAGGCAGACACTTAACTGAGCCACCCAGGCATCCCTGTATTCACTTTTTAAAGTATTTTTTCTGCCTTTTGGTCAATCCAGGTATGCAGAGGCTTAGTTATTGTTACAGATTTCCTCTTGGCCACTTCTGTGAGAGAGGGGCTTATCTTGAAACACCAGCATCCTTAAAACCTCAAAAGTTTATTTTGTTGTGCACCCTGTTTTTTTTGTTTTTAGAGCTCTGACCTATTTTTTTTAATTTATTTTTTAAGCTCTTTAAAATTTTTTATTTACAAATGAAGTATAGTTGACATACAATATTATATTAGCTTCAGGTGTACAACATAGAGATTGGACAGGTCTATCCATTACTCAGTGCTCACCAAGGTAAGTACAGTCACCATCTGTCACCATACAAGGTCATTATAGTATTATTGACTATATTCCCTATACTGTACTTTTCATCC